ATCACTGAGAAAAATCGAAGAAAAGAGGACACGGAAGCAGTTCATCAAACAAAAACGCCTAAGTCAATGAAAACATCTTGGACCGATGCTCCTCTTATGGGAGAAGGTACGGTCTTGAAGATGATGAAGGAGAGTGACGTCACTATAAGAGAACCCTAAGACAACATCTCCGACGGACAGACTGTTGAGCGCTGAGGATGATGGACGATCTTATTCCCCCCTCTGATGCCCTTCAAATTGATGCGTTGAATGATGTGGAACAGGGGAATGAGGAGGGACTTCTACCAGATACAGAGATGCAAGAGAAAACCACCGGTAAAGAACTGCTGTTAATGGAGGAAGACGACCTGCTTGGGGAGGAGCATGAAGATCAAGAATGTGCAGCTCAATTTCATGGTGTTAATCAAGAGGACTCTATTCTTATGATAGAAGGCTGAGAAAAAATTAAGAAAGATTATGCTGTGGAAGACTCAACACAAAAGGCTTTGACACGGAGCATGGCACGCTCTTTGTTTACAAGCTCTCAAGTATCTCAAGAACGCCGTGCATCGCCTCGCCTCAATGGGAATCATTCAAGTCATGTAGTAAGAACAACACGGGGAAGAGGAGGCAGACAAAGTACCACGGTTCAAAGACAATCTAAGACAACAAAAGCAACTCAAAAAGGGGGTTTGGTGGATTCCAAGTATCCACCACAAATTCATTAATGAAGACACTGAGTTGGAACTGTCGAGGGATAGGGAACAACCTCACAGTTCGACGCCTCACGGAGATGTGTCAGAAGCATCTCTTGTTCCTTTCTGAGACTCTTGTTCCTTTCTGAGACGAAGAATAGGAAGCTTCTCTTGCAAAATATTCAGGCTGACTTAGGTTTTAATAAATTGCTTACCGTTGAGCCTCTTGGCCAGAGCGGTGGTTTAGATTTATTTTTTAAGGATTAATTTCAAGTTAATGTTTTATTTTCAAATAATCGAATTATTAATGGACAAGCAGTCGTTAATGGAATAAAAGTCTATATGACATTTGTTTATGGAGACCCTATCAAAAACATAAGAGACCGAGTTTGGGAACGTCTTACACGTTTCGCAACAACAAGAGATGGACCATGGTTCATGATTGAAGATTTCAATGAAATAACTAGACACCATGAAAAGGAAGGAGCAAAAATGAGATCTGATACTTCTTTTCTCTCCTTCAACCAAATAATAGCAGATTGTGGTATGCTTGAATTACCATGTACTGGGAATATTCTGTCATGGTCTTGTAAGAGGAAACATAGTAATGTCCGATGCAGGCTCGATCGAGCTTTAGGCAATGAAGGTTGGCATGACAAGTTCCCTCACTCCAAGGTTCATTACCTTCGTATGTGGGCATCAGATCATCGTCCGATAGTTGGAGAAATACTTTCCAGACCAACTAGGAAAAAGAAGAGTTTCAAATTTGATAAACGGTGGCTGGATAATGAAGAGATCCGTCAAGTGACTCTGGATGGTTGGAATTCGCCATAACTGTTGCCTAATGCGAATATTATGGATCACATATCATGTTGTTGCAGAGCTTTGGGAAAATGGAAGAGAGAACAAGATATAAATGCGGCTAAGCTGGTCGAAGACCTTAAGGAGAAGGTTGATAACCTTTACTCGGATGATAATGCCACAACAGAAGAGATAGGAAAAGCTTTAGAAGAACTTACAGAAGCTCTTAAGGCTGAGGAGATATTTTGGAAACAAAAGAGCAGAATTTTATGGCTCACAGAAGGGGATCTGAATACTAAGTTATTTCAGGCTATTACACGACATAGACGAGCCAGGAAGAAAATTACAGGTCTGCTGGATTCTGCTTGGAATCTAGTGGAGGACAAGGAAGGGCTAGTGGCCATCGCAACTAGTTACTTCAGAGAATTATTTGAATCCTCCAATCCTGAGCTCATTGATGAGGCCTTAGCAAATGTGAATTCAACGATCACTGGCCAACTGAATGAAAGCCTTACAACTCTAGTTTCAGAATGGGAGGTAAAGCTTGCCCTTTTTGCAATGCATCCAGAAAATGCACCAGGACCAGATAGACTAACAGCTTTGTTCTATCAAAAATTTTGGGACATTGTCAAGGCAGATTTAACTCGTATGGTTAATGAATTCCTTTTTGATGGAATTAGGGCGGATGGTCTTAATGATGCAAATATTTGCCTTATCCCAAAGAAAGAAAAGCCAAATGAAATGTCTCAGTTTCGGCCTATTAGTCTCTGTAATGTCAGCTACAAAATTATCTAAGGTCTAATGACAAAGATTAAAGAAACTTCTGCCTGATCGTATATCTGAGACGCAGCCAGCCAGCCGTTGTTGCAGGACGACAAATAACTGATAATGTACTGATAGCACAAGAAATGTTTCATGCTTTGCGGACAAATCCAAGGGGGAAAATAGGAGAATGGCAATCAAGACAGACATGAGCAAAGCATATGACCGATTAGAATCGGAGTTCATAAGTGCTGTTATGAAGAAAATGGGCTTTTATGATCTATGGATTGTTTGGATAATGCAATGTGTAACATCTGTAAAGTACCATGTTCTGTTCAATGGTCAACCGAGAGGAAATATAGTTCCCCACAGGGGACTACGTCATGGAGATCCTTTGTCTCCTTTCATCTTTATCTTATGCACGGAAGCACTCGTTAGCCATGTAAATCATGCAGAATCTCAAGGGAAGATAACAGGGATGCGTGTTTCATGCGCTAGCGCCCCCCCCCCCCCGGTATCACACCTCTTTGCTGATGATAACATGTTCTTCTGTAAGGCGGAGCCCCGGGAATGCGAAGAAGTTATGAAAGTAATTAAGACATATGAGAGAGCTTCATGACAGCGAATTAACTTTGAGAAATCAGGCTTACTAATTGGGAAAAAGGTACCGGTTCCGGTAATGGATGCGATCAAAGCCACAACAGGGATAACAAATGAGGGCGGGATGGGATCTTATCTTGGAATCCCAGAGGACATAAGTGGATCAAAAAGGAAACTTATTGCTTTCCTAAAGGAAAAGTTGAAAAACCGTCTTAACGGATGGACTAGAAGATACTTATCACGTGGAGGGAAGGAGGTTTTAATCAATTCTATCCTGTTGGCGCTGCCAACCGATGTTATGTCAACACTCCTACTACCTTTAGAGACATGCGAAAATTAGCTAGTGCCATTGCACAGTTCTGGTGGAGTTCAAAACCTCCGAAAAGAGGTATTCATTGGACTGTATGGGAAGAGCTGTGTAAACAAAGGGAAGAAGGTGGGATAGGTTTCAGAATGATCCACGAGTTCAATCTTGCAGTACTAGGGAAGCAACTTTGGAGATAAGTTCAGTTTCCTGACTCCTTATTAGCAGGAGTATTGCAAGGAAAGTACTTCAGGTTTAGCTCGCCTTTGCGACTACATAAGACTGATAATCCCTCATACGGGTGGACTAGTATAATGGCAGCAAAACCACTAATAACCTTAGGGATTAGACAAAAGGTCCATTCGGGGAATGAGATCAGGGCCTGGGAAGACCTATGGATCCTAACGATACATGCACGCCCAGCTAGACCGATAGCCCCTGGGGTTCACCCGATGTTTCCAGTGAGCCACTTCATGAGTGGCAATCCAAAGCAATGGAACTTGGACTACTTGAACAATATGTAGCTCAGGAAGATATCCCACTGATCCAATATTTGGCCATAAGCCAGGGATACCAAAGGGATGCATTCTGTTGGTCATATACTAAGGGTGGAAGATACACGGTGAAGTCTGGATATTGGGTGGCAACAAATGTTCTCAACGGAGAAACAGAAGCAGTACTAGAACCGAGTATAGTCACACTTAAAGCCTATGCTTGGAAGATCAAATCTCCACCAAAGATCTGACATTTCATCTGGCAATCAATCTCAGGACAACTAGCAGTAACTAGCAACTTAACACACCGTCATATGCTATGTGATAATCATTGTCCTAGGTGTGGGGCTGAGAATGAAACGATCAATCATGCACTATTTGAATGGCCACCGGCATTACAAATATGGGCTTTAGAAGCAACCCCAACTCCACCTACAGTGTTTTCAAGTGCAAGCCATTACACAAATGTGGATTATTTGTTCTGGCGCAAAAATGATATTGAAGACCCAGAGCTTGACAAAGATCCTTACCCATGGATTATATAGTATATCTAGAAAGCTCGTAATGACAAATTGTTCAGAGGGACTGACAGGGACCCATTGGAAACTATCAGACATGCAGAATCAAAATGCCATGCTTGGTTCGAAGCAAATAATAGAGTGGAAGGGATAATCACGGAGAATGAGCCACAAGACTTTTTGATGATTCAGGAAGATGCATGGTGGATGGATCATAGACTCATGACACACTCTCACTTCAGTGGTTGTGGTTGGACATGGAAGAATTCTGGTGGACAAATCCAACTTTTAGGAGCCAAAAACAAGAAGAGAAGAATCTCACCTCTACACTCGGAATTGGAGGCACTTCTGTGGGCAATGGAGTGCATGCTGCTGACGTCGACGTGTCAGGCGTTTGGTACTGACTGCAAAGACCTAATCATGATGATCCAGGATCCAGGAGCATGGCCAAACTTTTCCATAGAATTACAGGAATTTTCAAGGTTAAAGGAGAGATTCACGAAGTTTTCGATTTCTTTATCCCTCGGGTTAAGAATGTATCGTCAGATTAATTAGCTAGGATAGCAAGGTCCTTTTACAGGAGTTTGTATTACATTGGTTATTGTATTACGGCCTGGTTCCCCATACCACCTCAAGTTTGACTAATAGAAGAGCCGTTCGATGAAAAAGAAAAAACATTTTCCACATTATATATGTCCGTCTGAATATTACATATAAACATACATGAATGATTGATTACCTACACATATATGATATATGATATGTTAACATAAGACCATGATCTGATAATGCAAAAACATATAAATTTAAAACAAAAGAAAGTTAAAAAAAAATATTCATGAAATGGTAGGAATTTACCTTTGCGGCTATTCATTAATTACACTTATTTATTATTTAATCATTAGGGCTTATCATTATACCCATTCAATGTCACATTTTTCGGGAAATCATATTTCCTGAAATCAACCTACAAAGGTAAAAAGAATGAAAATAGACAATATAGCCACAGGCGTATGCAAATGTATTAGGAAAGGAAACCTAGAATAAATACTTTTCATCAAAGTAATTTCATCAAGTATGGTATATATGACTAAGCTGTGGCGGCAAGCTTAGCGAGAACACCCACGGCGATAGAGTTGATGTAAGTGCAAGGCTCCGTGTAAGCAGAGGTCCACCTGAAATCTTGAAAATTATCTTGACGGTCGGGTCCTCCCAAGATGGCTCCTGTCAACTCGTTAGCGTTAGGCTTGTTTATGTTGAACCATTTCACAAAGCTCATTGGGCAGCTTAACGGCTCGTTAGCTTCAGCCAGTGGCACCGAGGCTCCTCTGTGGTGGGCTTGCATTGGCGGGTTTGGTCCGAACCCAACCATGTACGATCTTCCTTTTGGGTTATGCCCTAATATGTAGTCAATCTGAAACGTGCGAAGGCATAAAAAATTCAGGCCATTTACCATTATTTTGTGCGAACTACAAGCATTTCCTCGCATCTATGTTGTAACATATATATGTGTGTGTGAAAAAAAGCATTTGAAACTTCTAGTTCCCAAATAGTGAGGTTTGGCCCGTATAGTGGTCTTTGGTATGACCCTTTATACAAACTATGATTTTTACTTGTAAAGAAAGAAAAGATAAATGACCGAACGAGAAATGAATACCTAAAAAAAAAAAAAAATATTACTTGTTTTTTGGCGAAAGCCATGAGATGTGTCGAATCAAATTGTTTGCTTCCGCAAGAGATCTTTTGATTGTATTTCTGGAGAATATCGGCGTAGGCCGAGAACAAAAAGGCTGTTGCCGTGACATATTGAGTGTTGGCTCCATCCCTCAAGTGAATCAGACCACCTATTATTAACCAAAAAGATCATGCTGTTAATCAAAATATAACATGTTTCTAAATAGTAAATACGCATGATAATATATGGAGGCCGGACCTGGGGTAGTGAAGACTTGGTGGTACTGACTATCAGGTATATTTGAGCAGATAAAACTATCAGCTTGTTGTTTGTATAGGTCAAGTCCTTTTTCCCCTTCGAATATCATCTGAATTTACATAAATAATCATATTTGTGAATAAACTTGAATCACCAAAAAAAAAGCTATAACTGTGGACATGTGTTACCTCAAGAATGAGGATCTGCGCACCGGCGTATTTGAGATCCCAGCTAAACTCTGAGACGTAAGCACTTATGGCTTCAAATTTGAGATAGCTAAGGTACACCTCAATCTTTGTTGCTTTGTATAGCCATGTTGCCGCCCATAGTAACTCGTCCTTCAGATTTGTGTCAAAATTGATTATGAACAAAAACATATTAATAAAAAAGAGAGAGAGAGAATTAATATTAGAAATAGAAATACTTTGGAAGTTAGATTTAAGATTTACGTTGTAACCGGAGCTAGAACAGTAGAAAGGGCATTCTCCATCGTATGTACCCTTGTGGCTCTTCGCTAGCTTGAAGAGCTACATATTGAAATATTTATCAAGCTTTAATTTATTTATTAACATGTACTGATGTACATGTGCAAAATATGTATATATTGATAAGCATACCAATTTGGCTTTGTTGAGGAGCTGGTGAGAGTACATGTGGTCGATATGGCGGAAAACGATGGAGGAAGCGGCTAGTGCAGCAGCAGTTTCAGCCGCGATTTCTGTCCCAGGATCTTTGTCAGATATCTGTAACACTGTCCTTGGCGTTTGCATGTTCTCAGGCCTTGCCCAACACTTATGATCCGCGTGTGGATCACCTACCTATATGACCAGATATTCATAAGCACAACCATATTAACTAGGAAATGAGCACTTCATCTTTCTTATATGATGTAAATTGATGAAAGGGTGATCTTTCCTTTCCAATCGTAAAAAACCGTTTGCTATCTCTTATAAGCGTATTTAGAAAAGGAAAAAACAGGTTTAAAATGTGTACAAGTTTCTTAGATACATATTTGGTTCCGACCTGAACATAGAGGCGGTTCTCGCGAGAAGCACATTTGAGGAAATAATCGGTGCCCCAGCGGATTGCGGCACGAGCGTTTTCGAGCTCTCCAGCGGCTTGGAGTTCTTTCTCATAGTAAATGGTGGACCAAGCTAGCGTTGTGATCGTGAACGCCATTGGAAGACCATATTTCACATTGTCTCCTGCGTCATAGTACCCTCCCACCAAATCCACCTATACAGATATATTCATATTATTAGTTTATGTCGGGGCATGAATATAATAAATATAGCCCAAAACTTACATTTGCGAGTTTGCCATCATCAAGAGCAGAATCACCTCTCCACGGAACCCTATTATTAGGAGGGAGTTTGCCTGATCTTTGAGCCTCCAAGAAGATTAGGGATTTGGTTAGGGCTTCTTTGTAGTTTATGATAGTACCATTCACACACACAATGCTTAAGAGACCCAACAGTATGGCCCTAATCAGAACATTGCCTCTTTCTTTATCCCCATGACTACCCATATTTTCAGAAGTTACTTTTGTAATGAAAATGCAAACTCTTTATATAAGAACTGATTACAAAAAGAAAAGGAAACTTAATCTTTTTTCTCCTTTTCTAAATTTACTTTTAACAAAAAAAAAAAACGAAAAACGATTACAAGCTTTTCGTTTTTTCTTGTTTTATTTATTTATTTGTTTTTTGTCTGCTTCTTCTACCTCAGGTTTTATAATAGATTATTGAGCAATGGTTAAGGGACTTATAATAGAATTTTCTGGGAAAGTTAAGTATAGGTTTACTAATATTGACTTAGGTATTCACATCCATTGGTTACTATTTTTGACCTTTTGTTTTTGTTTTTGTTTTCTTTCTAGTTGTTATAATCTTAAAAAAAGACTTTTCGGATTGTTCGTTTTATGGATTAGTTTAGATCATACATTTCTCCTCCATCACTCGTCACTGTAAATATACACTCTAATGAAATAGTTATATTAAATTTAATTTGGATTAGACGTGACACAAATAGAGGCATATTCTTTGTGATATATAAAAAAATTTAATAGGATTAATTTGGTTATCTATGTTACCAAAAGTTAGATTTATTTTATTCCGTCACACATATGTTTAAAACTTCAGAGTGTTTAAAACTTCAGAGTTAAGCATGCATAGGCTGTGGTAGTAAAAAGATGAATGACATATCGGAAAGTCATTCGAGATATCGTGCGAGTGAGACCAAAGCACGAAAAAAAATCTGATGCTAGTTGCAGAGTCAGTCAACAAGATTTTTGGATATGGAAAAAATTAACGCACCATCCGTCGGATGGGATGAAGCCCACAGGCCGAGAGAGCGGGTGTGGATGGCCCATTAGCCGTGGCGGATAGAATATTATAAGTGGTATCGGACCTCATTAGCCATCTCGGTTCTGACCCGAGAGGCATCTTGAGACCCGTCGTGAAGTGCAACGAGGGCGTTGTATTCTTTGATAGGGGGTGAATTTTAACATCCGGAGTTGTGATATATAGAAATGCTTTAAGCGTACTTTCGCTGGAGGAGTGAAAAGATATGTGACCTATCACGAAATGATTCCACTACAAGAAAACAAAGTTTTCTTAGCTGACGAAAAACGTTATCTAACGTTATTATAGCGATTAATCAAGCGTTGTATCATCGCCTGTCATGATAGGTCGGACGGACACATTTGATATCGATTTTTTGTATTGCTATCATATTATTAAATGTCATAGTGTTTTTTCTTATGCAATTAAATATTCTTCAATAGCATTTCTTTTTTGTTATTATTTACATTAAATTTATTTATTTTAAAAAGAGAGAGAGAAAGAGAGAGTAAATGGGAGATGCGTTGAGCTTCAAACCAGAGAAGGGAGATGATGAGATGAGGAGACGGGCTATGTATGGAAAAGATAAGGAGATGGGAAGTCTTCAAATCTGGGCCGTCGGATTAGACCTCATCCAATGAATGAAAAAAAGTTATTCTTTTATACTCTACTCCTTTTGATCTTCTATGCTCCTAATGATCAGTATAATGTAATACACCACCTCAACTTTTCCCAAAAGGTTTTCAACTCTCTAGACTATTACAAGCGATGCTCCAATGGTGACTGGTTTTCTTCCAAAGACTTCTTTCCTTGACAACGTCCTAATTGAGCTCGGTAACTAGATAGCTAATCTCACTCTAGATAGAAACATACCGCTCTAATGAAAGTATTAAGGAATAGGGAAGACATACCATAACTTTTAAACGGCATCCAGTACTTCCTCTAATAAGAACGGTATACTTGAATTCACCAAAGTGAATCCTCTCTCGAACTATGACACTACCCGGGAACTACATCTATGTGTTTTTCCCGCATTTACCACAATATGGGCGGAAAAAATTACATCCATAAGCAAGGTATCTTACGACACCTTGATCTAATTTTCACTTATTTAATCAATTATTTTAAATGTTTTAAAAATGCACACAGCACGCAACTGGATAAGAAGCAAACCTATGATTGGACCTTTCAGGGATTTTGACGGCCCAAGCAATTCTAAAGTAGCCAAACACTTGGATCAGGACTAATGGTAAGGAAACACGAACAAGCTTAAGATTTTATACCCTAGGTATAGGTAACATGATTGGGTTACTCATGGGCAAGAGGTAACATGGCATCTTTAATCTTCACAAGGGAACCACCAAAGCACATATGACACAAGCGATCCAGAATTTCCCACATTTGTATAATCACGACCATTTTGTCCTTGCTAGACACAGCCACAATGACTCATAGTCCTCGGTCTTGATCTGATAAAACGTCCAACCAAAATTATCTCCATCAGCTTACTTGACTCGCTACTTGAAACTGATCTTCGATCAAACCTGATAGACTTTAGATATTTGAATAACACGAAGAAGTTTCCTTGACAGTAACAACTCCCTTAGCATTCCCGTACTACTCCACCATCTCCTCAAAGCTCTGGAATTCCATGGTCTTTTGTCTGCTCGAAAAATAATTGGCTAAGTCCCCATTGATATTCCCTTACGATCCTCAGTTCTTCCTCCAAACCATAATGGATGAATCAGATTCACTCAACCATAACCTCCTAGCGGAAACATCTCATTGTACCAACTCCAAAAGCTAAATCCTTCAATCAGTCCTATGCTTCGTGTAGAAAATAATTAATCTTGAACTCTTGAAAGAAATCTAGGTGACTTGGACCAATATTCCCAAAATTATACTTGACGCTTAACGATTAAGTCACTGCATCCTTCTTGATGTTGTATTCTTCCATATCCTTTTTTCAATCCTCGGAACAATGGCCCACCTCTATTGTTCTACTCCAAGTGTTGCATCCAACTTTGTCTCCAGCGAAAGTATACCTCAAGTGGTTTAGTCCTTCCTTGTATTTTGTGGTCACAACAGCATCTCTGCATCCTAAACTTCAAGAGGTCTTCTTGCAAACGAAATGGTGCTGGTGCATCCCTCGTCTTGTACTTCAGTTGAACCATCTCTGTCACTGATGCTAAGCTTGAAACAAATGTTGAACCCGTCAGGCTTGTAGACTCTTTTGCTGGTACAGCTCAGCATAAATGGAATAGACTTGAGCAAGCCGGAAGAATAAGTGCATCTTGGTGATCGTGTGCTGTCAGATCGCCCTAAGCCAGATTGTTGCAATAACACCACCTAAGACATGGGTCGGTTATGTATTAGATGTGTCGACTCTGTCCCACATATCTCTCTGATATATCGGAATCAATACTGGAACTCGAAAGCACGGAAGAATGCATGACAATAACAAATCTGAGCATGGCGGTAGAAAACCCCAGCACGAAGAGATCATAATCGGTAAGTACGTTCCATCTCGTCGAGGTTGTTTTATTGCATCTGCTATGAAAGATAACGGTAAGGAAACTACCAATAACTATATATCCTAGGATAAAGGAACTAGCCAGCATATCCTAGTTATCCTTGCGACTCATTTTAACTAGAAAAACTTTTGAAACAAGTCTCATTCCAGCATCGTATAACCATGCTCTGATACCACCTTTGTGACACCCCCAATCTGGTCTAAGTACAAGTTGACTCGACCGGCCGTGCAACAATCAAACAAGAACATGCACAGCCAATCACTAGTAGCTTAAACCAAGCCAAAGAAGCCACAATTTGCACATAAACAATTAACCCAAAGTTCCCGGAACAAATCCAGGTATCTTAACCCAATCGCCCAAGTACACATATCCTATTAGGTACGACCCGAGGCTTTGCAACCCGGCCGAGTATACCCAATAGTTGGTTCTTCCGGACAAGGACTAATATCATATGGAACCCGTAATTTAAAAAAAAAAATCTTTATACATTGTATATTTATTCTTTCAAAAGGATCTTACATAAATGTTATTGGTCGAGCTTGAAGATATCGGAAACAATCATTATACATAAGAGTTATCAAAAGATCAATGCAAGAATGAAAAAACTATCGCTGGCTAATGATGTTTCTTCCTGTCCTAGAGTAAGGTATCTTGCCTACTGGTAACCTGCATCACAAATGAGTCATGAGTAACTAGTTTACTCAGTAAGTCTAATCCCATACCCCAACACATATTAATAATATCCCGAGCAATGAACTTCATTTGTATGCAGTGGAAACATATTCCATAACTACTATATATAGGTAAGGCCTATCATTCCCTCAATATGCGTCTTATCTTAAACATCACTTCCATGTCACCCGCCAATCACTTCATATATAAATACAATATATATATACTAAAATCGATAAACCACAAAGGCTAACCGCGCTTAGTGAGTTAGCATTACCATCATCCTTGAATGTCTTAATGAACATTCAAGACTGCATTTTCATGCAGTACATGGCCTCCAGGGTGCTACGCCCATCATTGTGTCTTCATGACCTTGTTCCATCCGCAGGACCAAGTCACGGTAATGCGGGATTTATGGGGAGTGAATATGATAAGACTTCACATGAATCTTACTCGTATACTTAATTATATACTTATGTATTAGTACTTGAGAACAAGTACTAAGGCTCATGATAAACTTCAAATAATAATTCATAATATTTCTTAAGTGTTTACCCAAGGTAAACACTTCAAACTTTAATATAGATCAAGAGACTTGCTTATTAATCAACCATATTAACTACTTTCAAAATATTCATAACTCATCAGTCATCTATCTAGACTCACCTTTCTATCTATGAGATTGGCTAGGGAAGACTAGATTCAAGCACAACTATTCACAGTCCACTTCACTTCCATTTCAGAACATCTATAAGGTTTCCCAGACTGATCTTTAGACTTCTTCCGACCATCTGAACCCAAACAGAACGTGTCAACACTATAAGGATGGGAAAGTTCTTACACGGACCATCAGACTGACCATGACTTATCTCTACATCCAACAGAAGCACATAGTCTTATTATTATCAGAAATGCTTTAAGAAATTTAATCCAACAACAAGCTGAACTCGTACTGATCTGAACATGCTATATTCAACTGA